AAAAAAAAAAAAAAAAAAAAAGCAACTGCAGAAGCAACCGCAGCATAAGAGTCCGGGGCTGGGGCCCAGCACTGGAGAGTGGCGTCATCAGGGCAGGTGTCAGCCTCTGAATGACAGGCTGGTCAGCTGCTGGGGACCTGCTGAAAGGGGGAAGCAAGAGGCCGTCAAGAAACAGGCAGGTGCTGCACAACCCTTCACTGCAGGCACCCATTGGCCTCAGTGTGCTGAGGAGACCTGGCAGGTGGGGTCCAAGCCCTGAGGACAGCTTAGCCTCGGAGAGGCGATGACACCGTCCCTGCCAGGCCAGTTGCCTGGTGCCTCTGGGGCTGCCACGCAGTGATGTCTGGGCTGGGTTTAGAGGGCCTGCCTGAGTTCCCATCCAGCTCACCCCATGCCGCACTGGCTGGGCAACCCCAGGTGGGTCACTGAGCCACCGTGGGTCTCAGTTTCCCCATCTTTAAAGTGGAGACAGCAGATGTCTCCACATCACAGCATCACTGAGGGTGACCAAATGGGACGAAGCACACAGAGAGTTGTAGGACACTGCCTGGCACACGCAAGGCCCCCATCGGTGATGCTGTGGTCACGGTCACTGTCCACACACAGCAGGTGTTTGTGGCCACCTGGTGACAGCACAGGATGGCCTATCCTGGGGAATAGTCCCTTGGCTCTCCCTGTTCTCGGCCGCATGGTTTCAGTACCATCAGCTTTACTCCAGCCCCAGGGGCAGCTCTTGTGTGTGGGCTGATGTCAACCACTGCTGTCTATCATCCTGGCCACAGGGACCCACTGGGGGATTGGCCCGTGAGCCAATCAGAGCCAATGAGATTTGAGGAAACGCTTCCTCTCCAGAGGAATCACTCACCAGAGGAGGCGCTCTCTTGTCCCCTGAATGACAGAGTAGCAGGTGGATCACGGGGAAGCCACTGTGTGGCACGAGGGAGTGACGGGAAACAGCTGGTGAGAGGCTCGGTGGGGGAGCCACGTCCGGAAGGCAGAGCAGACAGGGCCAGAGACGCCTGCACCAAGCCTCGCCTGCAGCCTCGGGGCTCATCAGGTGTGTCCATAATAAACTCCCTCAATGGGATTAGCCAGGTGGAGCTGAGCTTTCCATTATTTGAAATGGAGTCTCGCTCTGTCACCCAGGCTGGAGCGTGGTGGCATAATCTCAGCTCGCTGCAACCTCTGTTTCCTGGGTTCACGCAATTCTCCTGCCTCAGCCTCCTGAGTAGCTGGGATTACAGGCTCAGGCCACCACGCCCAGCTAATTTTTGTTCTGTTTTTGGTTTCTGTTTTGTTTTGTTTTTTTGAGATGAAGTTTCGCTCTTGTTGCCCAGGCTGGAGTGCAATGGCATGATCTGAGCCCATTGCAACCTCCGCCTCCCAGGTTCAAGGGATTATCCTGCCTCAGCCTCCCGAGTAGCTGGGATTACAGGCACCTGCCATCATGCGTAGTTTTCTGTTTTTTTGTTTTTTTGTTTTTTTGGTTTTTTTTGTATTTTTGTACAGACGGGGTTTCACCATGTTAGCCAGGCTGGTCTTGAACTGACCTCAGGTGATCCACCCTCTTTGGCCTCCCAAAGTGCTGGGATTACAGGCGTGAGCTACCGTGCCTGGCCGTAATTTTCGTATTTTTAGTACAGATGGGGTTTCACCATGTTGGCCAGCTGGTCTTGAACTCTGACCTCAGGTGATCCACCCACCTCAGCCTCCCAAAGTGCTGCGAGTACACGTGTAAGCCACTGTGCCTGGCCATAACCCAAAGATTTCTAATGGTTAAAATAATCAAACCTCAAATTAAGTTATTCCCTAACTATGAAAGTTGAAAATAAGCCAAGGTCATGGATGCTCTAGCAGCTTCAACGACATAATCAGGCTCTGGCAGAAACAGAGAATCCTCAGGCTCTGGACTGCTGAGTCACAGCCGGGAACAGGAGGAGCCCACTGAGGCAGGCCCCTGACCACCCCCCACCTCCCACCGGCATGGAAGACGCAGGCCTCTACTGCTTCTTTCCTTGATATAGCAAAGGGCTCAGACCTTAGGAACAACTGCCAGCAGCCTTGCCCAGGGCCTGCCTTGCAGGAGGAGTGGCCAGCCAGGAATAAACAGCAGCAGCAGCATGCGGAGGTTGGGCAGAGCCCAGGGAGGCTGGAGGCAGGGGCCAGGCCTTACTCCCTCTGCTCACAACATGGGGCTGCGTAAAAACTGCAGTAAACACAGAGGCAGCTGCAGGAGAGATCCTTGGAGGGACCATGATCCAGTTCCTGGAAGACCACTGCCCTCAAGCCGCCAGCCCAGACCCTCTTTTCTGTAGAAACAAAACCGACCATCTGACATCATCGCACCTGCAGGCAGGGCTGAGGTCTCGGAGGAGCAGCCCCAGGCTCACCCCTCTCAGCTGTTCCCGTGTGAACTGCCGCCTGGCCCTGAACTGGGGACCGCTTACTTCTCGGTGAGGACTGGCCAAGTGCCCCGGTAGGGGCCCTGCGCTGCCGGTGCCTCCTGCTGTCTGCTTTTCCACTGAACAGTTTCATGGTCTTCTTTGACCCAGATCTCCAACTATATAAACCACAGTGGTATTTATAATTTTAGCGGGGGGTGAGCCTTAGAAGTATTTACAGAATTTTATAAATATCCCCCTATATTTTCTAGACCTTTTAGGATGCTGTTTTACATTAAAATATTGAATCAGGCCAGGCACAGTGGCTCACACCTGTAATCCCAGCACTTTAAGAGGACAAGGCAGGCGGATCACCTGAGGTCAGGAGTTTGAGACCAGCCTGGCCAACATGGCGAAACTCCATCTCTACTAAAAATACAAAAATGAGCCGGGCGTGGTGGCGCATGCCTGTAACCCCAGCTACTCTAGAGGCTGAGGCAGGAGAATCGCTTGAACCCAGGAGGCGGAGGTTGCAGGGAGCCGAGATCATGCCACTGCACTCCAGCCTGGGGGACAGAGGGAGAATCTGTCTCAAAAATAAATAGATAAAAAATAAAGTGCACAGGGGGACGCTGTGGGTTATGTGCCGATGGCACGCCGTTTCATATCTAGGACTGGGCATCCTCAGATTTTGGTGTCCTCCGGGGTCCTGGAACCGATCCCCTGTGGGTAACAAGAGACCACTGTGTATTTCAGTGTGAGTACGAGATGAGTATGAGCGGGACATGTGTGTGTTGGGGGGTGTGTGAGTGGGGTGAGTGGGGTGTGTGTGTGTGTGTTGGGGCGTGTGTGTGAGTGGTTTGTGTGTTGGGTGTGTGTGGTGTGAGTGGGGTATGTGTGTCTTGGGGTGTGTGTGAGTGGTGTGAGTGGGGTATGTATGTGTTGGGGTGTGTGTGTGAATGGGGTATGTGTGTGTTGGGGTGTGTGGGGGGGTGTGTGAGTGGGGTGTGTGTGTTGGAGGTGAGTGGGGTGTGTGTGTGTGCTGGGTGTGTGTGAGTGGTGTGAGTGGGGTATGTATCTGTGTTGGGGTGTGTGTGTTTGGGGTGAGTGGGTTGTGTGTGCGTGTGTTGAGTGTGTGAGTGGTGTGAGTGGGATATGTGTGTATTTGGGGGGGTGTGAGTGGCGTGAGTGGGGTGTGTGTGTGTTGGGGGTAAGTGGTGTGAGTGGGATATGTGTGTGGTGGGTATGTGAGTGATGTCAGTGGGGTGTGTGTGTTGGGTGTGTGTGTTGGGGGTGTATGAGTGGTGTGAGTGGGGTGTGTGTTGGGGGTGTGAGTGGTGTGAATGGGATGTGTGTGTATTGGGGGTGAGTGTTGTGAGTGGGATATGTGTGTGGTGGGTATGTGAGTGGTGTGAGTGGGGTGTGTGTATTGGGTGTGTGTGTTGGGGGTGTGTGAGTGGTGTGAGTGGGGTGTGTGTCTTGGGGGTGTGAGTGG